GAGCCACATCTGAATATAGATAAGCACTCATTTATACTCCATCAGTTTCTAAATATTTGTTTTTTCTAGATATTTCAACAAGTGACTACATACAGAGCAAGATGAGTGAATCTACACTCTTAATGAGTCATATATACCCGCAATAGGTGCCTGGGCACCTAGGGCCATTATGGCAGGTGATTTTTATTAGTGTATGGCATGCAATTTATGAAATAATAGCTTTCCATTTTCATTTGCATGCAGTACTACCCTTCACGGTCAATGATTGCTTCCCCAAAAATAATTAGGTTGATTTCCTAACAATAATTCGTTTCCAAATATTATGTCTAATGAAAATATGAACATATGCAGGCTATTATACACATAGCAGGCTATTATATCTAATGAAAATATGAACATACAAGAAGTATTATACTTAATGAAAATAATACATATATCCATGGTATTATATGTAATAAGAATATACACATAACGGAGGTAATATACAAAAACATATGGATATACCTGGGCATATTCAAATACCCATTAACATGACGTAATGAATATACATTGAAATATCATGAGTATGTAGATACCTCGAGATATCATGAGAATGTATGTAGATCTGCTATGTATATACCTAAATGGTGTACGTACTCCAAATCATTGACACATGCCCGAGGAATCAAATACCTACTAACGAGACAAAATGTATATACCCAGAAATATTATGAGTATGCGGATACCTCAAAATAAATTTGACATGTACGTCGTAAGAATTTGTCCTAGTTATCATACTCGTAATTTATATACTCAAATTAAATATGACATCCCCAAGATGATAATAAATATGATGTACCAAAGAAATGATATACCCGCAATATCATATCTGGAATACATATACTCCAAATTTTGTATAGGTATCATTTTCGAAATTTATATACCCAAATTATATGATATACCCAAAATAAATATAATACACCACGAATATGATATACCCCAATATGGTATACCCATATAAATATAATATAACCAAAATAAATATGATATACCCCAGGATGATAATTAAAGTACACGGAATTTATATACCCAAAATAAATATACTCGACTGTGGAACATCCGGAATTTTTTGAGTATAGAACATCGTTCCAAAATTCTCAAGTACCCGCAAAAAAGTCACATACCCATGAAATTAGTACGTGCATCCCTACAGTTACTATGCTTCCAAGAAATAGAGCACTGGGAGAGCTCGGGAGTTTTTCTTCCAAAGTTTGCCCGTCTGTCAGGCACAGATCGTAACATGAGGCCCGTTGGTCAGCGAACGCAAGCGTCATTCCCATGTAGGTCAAACTCCTTGCCCCTGGCGTAGGTTCGCTGCGGCTTCAATCGCGGCGTGTCGTGTTCGCTTTCTCCTCCAAACGTCACCACGCAACCCTAGCTAATCTGTCCAGCCACTAATTTTCCACACCCCCTGTATTTCCATCGCAGATTGGGGCTACCGGCGATTGTGGGAGGGAGTCGATTTGGGGCAATCAACACTTTGGGCATGGTTAATCTGGGTGGATTGCAGGTTTATTTGCCTTACCTTCGGTCGTTGCTGATTTGGCCCATTAGACAATTTTTTTCTTCGAAATCAGGAATCAGCATCTGTCGCTGTTGTTTTTTAGATCTGCATCGATGGAACGCTAGGCGAGGCAGAGGGCAACGTTCTTTCACTTTTTTTTCTCCCTGCAATTTCTCTATGTATGATTCTGTTAGCCTTTTAGCTCACCAGGTTGTGTTGTAAGTTTGCGAGTACCATGCCTTCTATATTCAAGACATCTTAATGTTCATGGCTTTCATTTCGAGTCTTGAAATTCAGGCTTTTAACAGAAATGCATGGATTGATTGCACAATAAAATGTTTTAACCTTATCTTAGTCGTCCCAGACAATGTCATTGCAGATATTCAGGTACATCATGCATGCAACAGTTGTCATAATTGTATAAATTGAGTTTGTATTCCACCAGGGCCCTTCAGCTGCTATGGTTGTCTCCTGTGTTGGCGTCACGGCTGCGTCCTCCTCGACGTTGGATGCCAACGGCATGGGGTGACCTGAAGAACTGGGGATGAGTGTTTGGACTTCGGCAATCGACCGAAAGAATTAGGGATGAGTGTTTAGACTTTGGCAACGAAGAGGGAGTGACGTAAAGTTTTTAATCAGCAATTTCTATCACAGTACACATACAAAATGCTCATTGTGTTACTATCACATATCACACTTATTGTGCTCTACGTGAATCTCAAGCTGGACGAGAGCTACACAAGGAGCAAGATCTCCATTCGGTCCAGAGAAGGTTTCCACAGTCTCAAGGTACTCTCTTTCACCATAAATCAATTACCTGGAGAATGCTCATGTCTGTATTCAAGGTTTTCAGCGTGCTGCTGAATCAGCGCACACATTTATATCTGAATTTTATATGAGGCTGTTGATTTTAGATCAATCCTGCGGTGGAGTTTGGTTTTGTCCGCTGGATGCCTAACTGCTTTTGTCTTGATATCAGACCATCATTAGATGGTTTGTGTTGTATACTTCAATGCATATTCTCAACTGTCAATTGCCGTTGGATTACACTGCAGTGTTCCTTTTAGTGGAAATTACATCACATTATTGTAGCAGCATTTTCTCCGTGACAAATTTTGATCTACTCCGCAATGCTTCTATACCATGCAAATTTGTTTACTGAACTAATCCTTGGAAATTAAAATTTATCTCTACTACTATAGTGCGGCAGTTTTGAAATTGGATTTACCACTCCATCTTCGGTTCTCCCACCCAAACAGCCATTGGCTCAAAATCCACCGTTCATTTCCCCTCACATGCATATCATTGACATCCATCAAACAAAGACTGACATGATCTGACGGCTAAAAGCTGCAGGATTCGCTCCCGCTCCTTGTGCACATGGTCGACTCTGCTCTCCAAATAAACAAATAAAGAAGTCCCAATTAAATCTGGATTGCACCTACTGAAGTTGAGAAATGTCTAGAAACTGCTGCCATCTCATTACATGCAAGTACAACAACTTGGCAAATAGCTAGCACATTTTGCTTCGCCCTTGTCACTTGGAAAATAAACACTCTACTACTAAACTTATTTCTTTAGATTGCTGTAAAAAAAGAATTTTTTTAGATGCCACTATACTGCAAACTTGACACTGTTCCATAAGATAACATTGCATCGCTGATGCTAGCTAAAGTTCTATTTTGCTTCATTGAGAAAGGTACTATTTTTATTATTCGCGGAAAAAGGTGTAACATTTTTATTTCAGTCATACATAAGCTGTACCTAAAGCTAATACAAGACATGAATGTCTATCAGACCTAAATGAATTATTTAGTTGCACAAAATAGCCCATAAGCATGCATGTAAACCGTCAAACAACTCAGGAACTATGCATCAATGGAACTCATGAAACAACATATAATAAAACTACAACTTTTATCGTGCAATCAAATTCCTACTTGGAACTCAGTTTGATTTGTGCAAGTGATTTGCTTCGTATTTAAGCATAGTCCTTAGATCTTGCAAACAAACACATTGTGATATCTACTCAAGATACGAGTACCATTTCTCTCTCTAAAAGGAAGGTATACGACTATCTATCATACAGAACTATACGTGCAAAGCACGTGCCATGGACTAGTAGATTGATAATATTCAAAGATAATGAACCGTTATCTTGCTCTTGCATCAGCAGACCATCTGGATCAGTTCATATATGGTCATCTAGATCCCCGTATACATTTGTAACCAAACCGTAAATCTTGGGATACCTTTATTTTTCTTCATCTATCATTGAAATTTCAAAATGCGCTTTATTCGAGTGCTACCTTACACGGTATAGCTTATAACTATGTAAAATGAGTTTGTTTTTCATAAGGACTTTAATTTCTAATGCATTGACGACCATATATCTTGCCCTGCCATTAGAACATAATATCTTCTCTGTGAATTCAAAATATTACCTTACATACATGAAGCCCGGGAAAAACCAAAAAAATAGACTGAAGCCTGGAATAAAGCAAGTGAACAGTGTTGCTTTGTATAAAAAATATGAGAAACTCTTGTTTATAATTAGAAAAGTGGATGTAAGATAAGGAGAAAGTTTTAGCTGGTACTTACGTTGTCTTGCCCTTTCAGTTGTTACATATTTTGTGTTGTCAATGTTATTAGTGCGTAGCTTTATCAAAAATTTCCTTGAACTGACATATGCAAAAATGGATAAGCAAGTGAAGGGACTCCTTCTGATAAGGGGGTGGCTACTTCTTTGAGCTTCTATCTTAGATAGGACACTGATGATGTTGTACTGGTTATCCAGATCCAATAATTGAGCTCTAAAGTTATCTTTTACCCTGTGAATTTACTGCCATAGTTTCATAACACCAGGTTATCATGATTTTAAATCTTTGTCATTACATATGATACAGGTTCTGTGATCTTCCCTTTTGCCATGCTTGTGTTTGCCCCAGTCTGCATTTAACTGTTGAAATCAGTCACACATATGGGAGTGCAATCTGAAAATTAGAGATGGTATACTATCCAGTGTCTACAATATTAGTGTGGCACTCAGATTTGTATTGCTGGAAGCCAAGAAGCACTTCAGAAAAAACAAATCTAATCTTTTAGATAACATTAATCTTAATACCGTAAGTAAATAAGACGGCGCAGCAAGGCGCGCGTTACCTTCTAGTACATATCGTATCCACAAAAAGGAGTACGGTTATATGTATATACCTTCAAACGAGTTCCATTCTTTGTACAAGGAAATAAATGAAGAGAATCAATTACATTTATGCCAGCGCGTGATATTAATGCACCTAAATCATACATTTATTGGCACTTACCAATTACGTCC